AGAGCAAAGCTCTTTAAGGAATTTTCCTTGATTTTATCTTCCCTGTAAAATTGGTAGAAATCTATGATGTCATTTTGAAGCTGTCACCTTATTTTGAATTTTTCTTAGTAATACTATAACATGTTTCTATATGTAATAAAAATGTATAAAGTCAATCTCGCGTCAGGAATATCAATAACTATTTTATGATTAAACAGTGATTACCTTTTTAACCAATTTACTTGCTAATTTTGAACTCTTTTTGTATATCTTCAAAGTCATGTCTTTCACGTTGAAATAGACAAAGTCGCCATATTGATGGATGCTGGTGAAATGGTTTGGCAATGTAAACTGTCTGAAGGTTCATATTGATGGATGTTGGTGAAATGGTTTGGCAATGTAAACTGTCTGAAGGTTCATATTGATGGATGTTGGTGAAATGGTTTGGCAATGTAAACTGTCTGAAGGTTCATATTGATGGATGTTGGTGAAATGGTTTGGCAATGTAAACTGTCTGAAGGTTTATATTGAACAACATGACCAAAAACCAAGACTTTAGGACAGGTGATTAATGATTTTACATCTATGAACTTTCTCATGTCATCGACGATTAGTCCAGAACCTAAAACAGAAACAAATGTGAGAGGGAAAATGAAGATAATAACTGGTGTCTTCTTCAAAACCTTAACCCTGCTTCTCCTGTAATACACAAAAGTCGACACCACGGTTGTCTTCACTCCATCCCACAAACCTTTGCAAACCATCAATATATTTACGAGGAACGTTTGGACTAAACATCCTTAATTAGTATTAGAGCTAATACGCCTTATTTCAACATTTCACTCTTCTTGCCAGTCAAGTGTAGAAATTGCATTAACTTGTTTCGGTTGACTTTTCATCACTTGAATCCTTCACAGTTCTGGTGAGTGCAAAACGTTAATGGCTGCATGTTACCGCTTTAAAGTTGATTAAAATTACATTACCTCGAGGGAAAGTTTACCAAGCCAGTTGTTAATAGCTATCTTCTTCGACTGTTACATCGTCAATACTTAAGAAACAAGTAAATCTTTCGCTATTTTCTTCACATTCTCGAAGTTTTTTATTCTTAGCTTTAGCTTATTCCTTCCTCAAATTTTATGTCTTGTTATGTTGACAGTCTTTTCCTCGCATAGACAACATCCTTTCCACTAACTTTTGAAAACTTTTTATGAACCATCGAAAACTTTGACGACAGTAAAACTACCATATGTATTTGCAAAGCAAATTCATACACAGGTTCAATGAATAAATTAAAAAACAGACTTCACAATTAAATAGCTTTATTCTTTTCTTTATTCCCTCGCTGACCATGAACAATACACGCTTTGAACACCATCAATGGTAGTCAAAACTCACTTAAAACCAATAAATACAACTCGAATACAAATTTAAAAGGTAGCCGGGATTCATCGAAGCGTTAAATCATTTTGGCAAATGGAAAAGATTAAATACTTCGACAAAAACTTGTTTGAGCAATTTCTCTATGCTCTGACTTTGCAAATTTACAAAATCTTTAAAATGAAAACAAATAATTGTGCATGATTTGAAAGTTACAACTAACGCATAAGAAAAGTTTTGCGCTTAAAATTTTTGCTCCTTTCGATGACTCAAAATCATTTCCCGCCTCTCTGAATTCAGGTTACCAGGCTCATGTAATCAGCCCCTAAATCATACAAATTGATGCCATAATTTTGAAAGCGCTTTTAACTTTCGGGTCACAAGAAGATATAAATATAATTTATAATTTATGTAATTAAAATTACTCAATGGTAAAAAACTATACGCAGAATACATAAAACAATCTATGAAGTTTAAAATTGTTTGGAAACATCAGAATACATATGATTTCTTCGAGGACGAATAGCGTCTCTTGATGGTGGTCGATTGTCAATCATACGAGTTCCTTTACTGAGATAACCTTGGGAAACGAATTTGAACGATTGTCATACTCATAAGCGGTTAAAATAGCTGACAATATCATTAAAGAATGCTATGATTTGTAACTAAGTTGACTGTTTTGTTCTCTGTTGTTCATTCATCACTACCTACACTGACACACTTTATCTTAGTTCTTATATGTTTTGGATCGTGTAAAAACTGTTCTCGTTCTCTGTTGTTCATTCATCTTTATTTACAGAGAACCACGTTATCTTATTTCTTAAATGTTTTATGTGGTGTAAAGATGTTCTCATTCTCTGTTGTTCATTCATCACTACCTAAACTGACATGCGTTATCTTATTTCTTATATATTTTATATAGTCTAAAGACTGTTCTCGTTCTCTGTTGTTCATTCATCACTACCTACACAGACACACATTATCTTATTTCTTATATATTTTATGTAGTGTAAAGATGTTCTCGTTCTCTGTTGTTCATTCATCACTACCTACACAGACACACGTTATCTTATTTCTTATATATTTTAAGACTGTTCTCATTCTCTGTATGAGCATGAATTTTATAATATAAATATTCCTGTCACACAAACTATTCATAAAATCAAAGGATACTGGCCAACACAGGAAGATAAAAAATTTCATTTTCGCCAATTATTTCAATGTGATGACCAACAGATCCAACTCCACTTTCTCCAGATACACCAACAGCTACAGCAAACATTTCAATGTCTAGTTTTCTCGTCATTCCTGCTGCAATCTATAAATTAAAAATGCAACAACCAAAGAAAAAGTAAGACACAGGTTTTATTTCATTGAAAAACGTGTGTCATTCACAACCATTGCAGTTTATTAGCCCATCAAGCAGCACAATAGAAATTGCTTTGTTGCTTTTCAATGTAAGAGCTTATGATTACGATTTTCAGGTCCTGAGACAATTGCTTAAATTGTCCAGCAAAGTCCGAAGATCATATCTTCATTTAAGAGCTTATGATTGGATTGTGCTATTTATATTATATTTCCATTGAACGTTATCATGAAAATCTTCTAAAACAGTTTGTTCATGTCAATTTTGTTCTCAAGATATTGGAGTTTACGCACTGTACGCTTTACACAGCATGTGACGTCACATAGCATAATGAAAATTTGAAATAGCAGGTACATTTGCTGATATTTTACTTTAACAGAGCAGAATTCCCTTCATTGTGAAGAATTAATGGTATTAAATATTGCTTGATCATTTCAACGAAACCAAAGGATGTTTAAAACTTTGTTAAATGCAAAATGATGTAAAATTTGTGTAAAGGAATTATAAAATTTCAATATCTTGAGAATGAGAAGCAATGTACGTACACTGTTTAGAAAATACGCTGTCAGTTTCAAAATCCTGTTGAGTGAAAATATAATTTAAATAGCAAAATTTTCGAGTCGTATGCCTTGAAATTATCATTGATGCTAATTTATACTGAACTATACACAAGAATAGGTTATACTTAGGGTAAAGGGGTATACTTAGGGATTATAAGCGGTAGAAAGGGTATTTAAGAATGTATAATTAATTGAAAACAAAAAACTTACAGGACCATGATTAAACAAAACTTTGATACCAGTCGATGGAGGAGGTTGTCGTACTTTGAATCTACAGCTATCAATACCAATGTTCCTTAATATCACCGAATGTACATACGTGTGACCTTCTTTAAGTACCCCATGTCCACCTCTGGTGGAGAAAGCTCAAAACCTCTTGTGTTGTTCTTTCCAATAACAGAAGCAGTTTGAACTTTACGTCGGACAGGATCCTCTATCTTTAAAACTGATATCCCAGAGAAGAATAAGAAATAAAAGGATCAAGGAAACAAAAAATGGAATTATAAAACATGGGTTTCTGATTGATAGACATAAAAATTAGTTTCTCTATGTCCTTTACAAACACTGATGATTTTAAAGATTTTTCAAAGAAAATGCAACGTATTTTCAAATTTTATATATCTGTCCTTCATTTTATCTTATTTAATTCAGTAGAAAATAATTTGAGTTGATATGAAAATTGAAATGAATTTTCACATGTCGTATTTAGAAGCCATTTTCGATTTAAAATTTACTCAAGCAACTTTTGAAGCAAGCTACAACTAAGAGACGAAAATTTCAGCAACAAGAGCTCTGTTTTTGGGGGACTGTATTTTTATGAGTAAATCTTCTCATGTTAACAATAGCCAACACAACAAGTGTTTATTTACATGTGAAAATAACCACTGAATTAAAGGTCACGACCTGTAATAGTTGCCAAGACAACGTCGACACACGTGCGAATATACAACAAAGTACACGTTGTTTTACAGGTATTTTCATTATTTTATATAAAACATCGTACACAATTCTTTAAGAACCAAGGCTCAGTGGTCTAGTGGTATGATTCTCGCTTTGGGTGCGAGAGGCCGCGGGTTCGATTCCCGCCTGAGCCCGCTTTTACGATTTCATCATAACTTCCTTAAAAAAATATTATTCTAATGACTTGCGCTGAAAAATCCTTACCAATTGAGCAACTTTTGCCGACAAAGACAAATAATTTCATGCAAAAAATTGTTACGATTCTATAAAACAGTCAAAATAACAAAATGAAATGAAAGCATCATAAAGTTTACTAAATGTGGACCAATGTAAACTGTCAGCTATAAATATGATTTTGACCAAATTTAAAATTATTTTGGAACATATGTCTGCGCATTGCACCTTTTAAGAATTGGCACGAGCCCGCATTTGCATAAATAGCGCAATCTTCACTATTCAGCGACTGCTTAGCACAACTAGTCCACCGTCCAGGTAAAAAAGCACTGAAGGCACATGTTAAGTGAAGAAACGAACTGAGAACAAATTACAAAATACAATAAACAAAAAAAGTTGAAGTGTTCAAAAGGAAAGATGCATTGGCCGGGAATCGAACCCGGGCCTCCCGCGTGGCAGGCGAGAATTCTACCACTGAGATACCAATAATTGATACCGAGGCAATTGTAACGTAGTCTGTGACCTCACAAGCAAATTAAACTTTTGCCTGTGTCCAATATTTAAAAATTTTGTTATCATCTCACCTGAGAGTTTGGTAGAGCACCAGGTTTTCCACCCATGATAACGTTGGGTAAATTGTCATGATTATCACAAGATGTCTCTGTGTAACGATAACATAAACATAAATGCTGTTTTTACGTACTACACATTGCACCAATTATCACTTACTTGATGACGTAACATCTGAACTCAATACTTCATGTTGCATTTCCAACAATGATTCTAAAGTCGAACTTCGGACTATAGATTGTTTGGTACGGGGGGAATCTAAAACACTTTCATTGCTCAAGACAGTCGATGCTTGACGGGGGGTGGGGTTGGTGGGTCGTGTCGACGGGGAGGTAGGTACACCACCAGCTTGTGCAGGAGTAGGATTCACTGGACGACTGACAAAAGGTGTACTACTTTCGACTGGAGAGACATCCCCAGGCGATTGTCCTCTTTCAAGATCTGGGTTCTCTAAAACCGCTGACCTAGACCAGTTTGAATATTGCGGAACATTTTCTATAGCAGTAAGAAAGAAAAAGTACGTTTATTAATTAAAAAGAGTTTCTCTAACTATGTACAGTAACGTACCATGAGAAGTTTGATGCCTCTGATCTATAATTTCTGTTGATGCACTCATTGCAGTGTGAAGCGAACTAGAAACTGGACAAGCTTGTTTGTCGAGTTCAGCACTGAGCTTCAACATATCAGGACCGCGATTTAAAGCACTTAGAAAAGCTTGACCCTTCGCCGTTTCAAAATATGGCGGAACTTCACGATGACGTAATGCATGTTTGCCGTATTCCAGTTTAGCCAAATCTATACGATCTCGTTCCCATTCCTCGGCCGTGCGTTTCCAGGCTGGCGCAGGTGGTGCGGGCTTTTCGACAGGTGCTACAGACTTCAAATACTTTTCTTGTACACCTGCAGTAAAGTAAACATAAAATAACTTGACTTTTCTATGTTCAAAATAAAACTGTATGAATTAGGATGGTTTTGTAAACTGATTCTTTCCAAAATAGACAAAGAAGATGCAACAATTTTACAACAAAGTCAGCAAGAAGTTTAATAAAGAAACAACGACATTATTGAATGTATTGTTTTCATGATAGGGACAGTGAAAATTAAAACTAAATAGAAACCAAGTTTAAACATTACCATTTACATCAGCTTTGAGATCATTTTTAGAGAATTTTCTCGCTCGTACTAAAATGAAATAAAATGCCCGTGAATTCAAAGTATTAGTTACGATAAATTATTACATATACTCTAGTTTGCTTTGTAAAACTAAAGTACACATGATAAAATCCTTCCTTCATCCGGCCGGGAATATTTGGATTGTTATCATTCTTCTTTATAAACGGTTGAAATTATTTTGCCTTTGATATCGTTCAAAAGTTTTGATGAAATATATCATGAATCCAATGTCATTTTTCAAAGTTTGTTAAAGGGAATTTTTACATGTCAATCAATAGTTTTACTAAGTTTAAGCATGAAGGGTAGCTCTAGTTCACTTAACGTTCACACAATTTTTTTGACGTTTTCTTGTCTCTAACACGATAAACTTTTACACGCTATACGGAATTTTAATCGTTTCCGCTACGTTTTAATAAAAACTCTTCAAAGAAAAGTGACCTCCTTGTAATGAAGCCATAACAGACCATCATAAAACGAGACTTCATTGTTAGTAGCCGGCGTTTGCTAGCAATAACTAAAGAAAATGTTGATGAAATATTTCGTTATTTATAAAAATAAAAACAGAAAACCGTGTTTTCCTTTAATGTATTTTCAATAAAAAAGGCCACGGGGGGTTTGCAATATCGTAATTTAACCTGAGACAATGCACTCTGTGACGAAATTATTGAAAGTGCCTCCACATTATGACACAGTAGTAAACTTTTAAAGAGTATCCTTTTTTCATAGTTATCTAAATAATATAAAACTATTCCCCGCGCCACTTATCTTTCTTACAACACATTTATCTTCCATCCTCGATTTTTAAATTTGTAACTGAAACACTCATAAAATAGAAATGATTACGTTTTTAAGCAATTATATTTAACATATTGTAATGACTGCTTTATCAAACTACCGTAAATGAATTTGTTATGTCAATGTCAGCTAATAAACTTTCATCTAAATAAAGTTTTCAAAACACATCTGGTGTTAACATTGCCATGAAGCACGCAGTTCAATATTAGCATTTGACTACTTAGGTTGATACGAAAGCTGTTGTTCTTATTACATCCAAGGATTCTCTTACAAACGAGACTAAAAACTGATGAAAAAGAACAATGAATTCTACAAATAACCCAATACCACAAATTTTTTTCATATTTCTAACAACATTTGAATCATTGTTCATAATAATTGGAGTTACAGGAAACGTTTTGGTGATATGGCACAATGTTCGTTGGAATAAAGATAAAAACACGACCAGTTATTTTGTTATTAATTTGGCTTTGTCGGATCTTGTCGTTTGTGGGATAACTATCCCGATGGCTATCGCAAAATATACACTCCATTTGATGGGAAAAACAGGCCTACCTTGCGAATTATTCATTTTCATTTTGTACGCAAGTATATCGCTTTCTATAGTGAACCTTATGATGCTCACAATTGATCGTTACATTTGTATTGCATTACCCCTAAAGTATCCTCACATTGTCACCCAAAGAAAGGTGTCTATAGCTTTGGCTTCAGTATGGATCACTGGCTTTCTTAGTTTTATTATGATGTTTTTCACCGCAAGAGCTACCGACGTGCCATTGATATGCGAGATGAACAAAATAGCTGGTTCGGTTGGTATTTTTTTCTTTTTCTTTGTTCCACTTGGTGTTACGATCGTTTTCAATGTGAAAACTGTACAAATTGCTCGAAACCAAGGTCGAAAAATAGCAGCACAAGCTTCTTTATCAAAAACAAAGAATTCAACGTACGCAGATGATTTGAGCTCAAGAAAAAACTTTTCACGACAAATGAAACTCTTCAAAACAATCCGTGTCGTTTTTGGTTGTTTTTTATTCTGTGTAACACCGTTTCCTGTGATAGATTTTATCGAGCTTGTCATTTGCAATCATGGCTGTATCCCTCTAAAAGTTTACATTGGAATTTCGCTTCTGGCTGCATTAAACTCCATTACAAATGCTTTCATATATGGAATACGAGATAAGAAATACAGAAGATCTTTCAAACAAATGTTTGCGCGATGTTGCAATTTATCTGGGTAATCAATAGAAAAGAGAATAAAAAGAAACAGAAAAGAACATTCTAGCATAACACAAAAAAATCTAATGCTAACTGTCTCTCTTAGGGACGCCAAGATAAAATGCGAGGCTTAAGGCTTCTCTTGAGGAAATAGGACGTTATGATTTTAAATATCTGCCAGGCAGATTTTCTAAACTGTCCTTATCTTTAAAGGTCTGTAACAGAGACCTGATTTTACTTCTCTAAAACGTGTGTCTAACTAGAATGGGGGTTTAGAGAAAGATCTCAACTCCATCACTCTCGGAGATTCTGAACTTCATAAATGCTGAACATGGCTATCATTAAACTCTACTACCCTAACTATTATTAAAGTTCTTGCACCTGGTGGAAAACATAGTTCAAAAGACAAATGAATTCACTGATGTACATTCACTTTAGGAGATCCGTGAAGAAATCTAAGCTCAGTGCAGTACAAAATATAACTTTAAATGAGTCGCATAAAATAGTTTTAGATATGTAGAAAAATATGCATTTCCATCTTGACTTTTATTTATGTGCACTATGACTTTTATTTATGTGCACTATGACACTATGATATTAGTGAGTAACATTCACGTCATTATAAATAAACTTTGACAATCTGACCACAATCTTTGCTGTTGTCATCTTAAAATTTTTCTATAGTGTAACTATAAGTAATACTATGATATGTATTTCTTGATGTAATAAAAATATATAGGCAGTCTCGTATGATAATATAACCGCTTTATGATTAAAAAATGCTTACCTTTTCAGCCAATCAATTTGCTCTTTTTACTTCTTCCCTGTCACGTGACTCCTTCGGCAGACAGTTATCGCACTGAAGTTGAAGTTTTGTCACGTACTCGCCATATTGACGGAATGCCGCTGAAATAGTCTCGCGATGTACGATGTCCGAAGGCTCATATTGAACAAAATGACGCAAAACCAAGACTTTGGGACAAGTTAATAATGGTTTTACATCAACGGCTTTTCTCATGTTGCCAATGACTACTCCGAAACCTGAAAAAAGAAGAAAAATGAGCTGGAAAATTAGGATAATAACTGGTGCTATCCCCTAAATTGAACCATTTTAACCCTGAAACACACCCACAGGTATGAACGTTGATATCCCTGTAAGACACCTGCAAACCCTTAACATTGCCAACCTGAAACCAAACTATCAATTTATCAAAAAACGATCTCAAAATACCCAAAATTCAAATGAAACATCAATAAAACAATGAAATAAAGACCACCTGCATTGGTACCAAATTTTGGACAAAAATTCAAATGAAACATCAATATAACAATGAAATAAAAACCACCTGCATTGGTACCAAATGTTGGACCAAAAGTCAAATGAAACATCAATATAACAATGAAATAAAGACCACCTGCATTGGTACCAAATTTTGGTCAAAAATTCAAACGAAACATCAATAAAACAATGAAATAAAGACCACCTGCATTGGTACCAAATTTTGGTCAAAAATTCAAACGAAACATCAATAAAACAATGAAATAAAGACCACCTGCATTGGTACCAAATTTTGGTCAAAAATTCAAAGGAAACATCAATATAACAATGAAATAAAGTCCACCTACATTGGTACCAAATTTTGGACCAAAAGTCAAATGAAACGTCAATATAACAATGAAATAAAGACCACCTGCATAGGTACGAAATTTTGGACCAAAAGTCAAACGAAACATCAATATAACAATGAAATAAAGACCACCTACATTGGTACCAAATTTTGGTCCAAAAGTCAAACGAAACATCAATATAACAATGAAATAAAGACCACCTGCATTGGTACCAAATTTTGGTCAAAGTCAAATGAAACATCAATATAACAATGAAATAAAGACCACCTGCATTGGTACCAAATTTTGGTCAAAAGTCAAATGAAACATCAATATAACAGTGAAATAAAGACCACCTGCATTGGTACCAAATTTTTGGTCCAAAGTCAAATGAAACATCAATATAACAGTGAAATAAAGACCACCTGCATTGGTAACAAATTTTGGTCCAAAAGTCAAATGAAACGTCAATATAATAGTGAAATAAAGACCACCTGCATTGGTACCAAATTTTGGTCCAAAAGTCAAATGAAACATCAATATAACAGTGAAATAAAGACAACCTGCATTGGTACCAAATTTTGGTCCAAAAGTCAAATGAAACGTCAATATAACAGTGAAATAAAGACAACCTGCATTGGTACCAAATTTTGGTCCAAAAGTCAAATGAAACATCAATATAACAGTGAAATAAAGACCACCTGCATTGGTACCAAATTTTGGTCCAAAAGTCAAATGAAACATCAATATAACAATGAAATAAAGACCACCTGCATTGGTATCAAATTTTGGTCCATCTTTCTTTTTTTCTGTCGGTGGAAACTGCGTAAAGTCTCTTTCCCGTAAAGCAAGCGGAACAAGATTACTTTCATCTTTGTGTTTTAGCCATTTTCTTCCTTCTCCTTCTGAGAAAGGTTTTAGTACAGTAACTCCGGTGACGTTTGGTAAACCCTCAATAGGAGTTCTTAAAACAGCCGTAGCAACGTTATCTTCAGCAGCTTTCAAGTATTCGTCAACGTCTTGATGACGTAACAATTCAAACCCAGTACCATCACGACGCATCACAAAGAATCGTGGGACGGGTAAAATGTCTGCTATAGAAATAACAACAAAACCGAATATGTGTTACAACTCTGTCATATGATTCGAAGAAAATGTTATTTGAAAAACTTAATGAATGACTGGTATTTAAAAGAAAAACTCAAGTTGTAGAGTTACGTTAATGGTGCCTCACCTTTTTCTGTTGTATCTGTATTATTGACTTTATCAACTTTTATATCACCATTACTAAACACAGAGAATGTATTTCCACAGTTGTCCTTATGATCACAGCAATGTTGTGATGTAGTGCGTAGATAATAAACACCCCCTTGACGATTCCTGACAGAATTGACGTCATCATCACCATGATCACGATGAACTTCATTTAAGTCACGAGGAAAGTAGGAAACGTTACCTAAAATATAAAGTAACAATGCTTTACTTTGATTTTCCTCTCTTGCATTAGATAAGATTATTTTATGAATTGAAAATAATTTAAAGATTGTTAACCCTCCTTATAAATCAACTAATGTCCTTATGTGTACCCCTATAACTATCACTTCTTAACAACATACCTTTACTATCACACAAAATCCTAGAACCATCATATATATCAACATCACTTTACGTTAATGTCCTTATGTGTACCCCTATAACTATCACTTCTTAACCACATACCTTTACTATCACACAAGATCCTAGAACCATCATATATATAAACATCACTTTGCTTTAATGTCCTTATGTGTACCCCTAGAACTATCACTTCTTAACAACATACCTTTACTATCACACAAGATCCTAGAACCATCATATATATCATCATCACTTTACGTTAATGTCCTTATGTACCCTATAACTATCACTTCTTAACAACATACCTTTACTATCACACAAGATCCTAGAACCATCATATATCAACATCCTTTACGTTAATGTCCTTATGTAGTACCCTATAACTATCACTTCTTAACAACATACCTTTACTATCACACAAGATCCTAGAACCATCATATATATCAACATCACTTTACGTTAATGTCCTTATGTGTACCCCTATAACTATCACTTCTTAACAACATACCTTTACTATCACACAAGATCCTAGAACCATCATATATATCAACAACACTTTCACCATTTGTCATCGTGTGTATGGAGCTACCGTTACCAAACAACGTTCGACATGAACCATATTCTGTCTCTATGGTAACGGTTGAAAAACCCTCACATTCCACCTTGACGTATGTGGTAACACGTGACTCGTACTCAGCCTCTTCGCCAGTTTTTGCATTCGGAGGTTGCAACTCCACTCGTGTTATATCGTAAAACGTGGTAATACGAGTGCCGTCCAAATGCTCTACGACTTGAGTGCCGTCAGGTCGAGTAACTTTGATGACTTTATCTTCCCTCGTTTTGTAAATCTAAGCAATATTTATAAAAACATTCAAGAAGAAAATTTATGTCGAACTTGAATAGACAAGTAATAAATAAAATTAATGGTTGCTCTTAGAGATATCAAAACAGCAGTAGCCACAGATTTTGCTCTTGCACAACAAATATGAAGCAGTTTTTTGTCAAATTACAACATGTATCGTTCATATCATAATGTAACTTTAGTAAACTTAACAACAAGAAAAATATGTAGCGGTAAAAAGCAAGCCTTCCTTGTTCTTTATTTTGTTTAACTTTTTAGTAATAGCAATAGAATTTCTGCTTCCATCATATGGAGCTTACATGCAAATGATAATTATGTTTTCGTAAGAAAAAAGCAATATGTCAGGACAATAAAAAATTGTCTCAAACAAACGAAAAACTAAAAGTAGCCATTTAAAATGTTGTTTTCAAGGCTTCTACAACATAATCAGGGCCATCAGTGGATAGTTAATGGGGGTGGGGGTGTTTTATTCATGTATTCAGATGTGCCTACTGATTTCTTTTGAAAGCAATTCACCTAAGGAATTAAGTAATTCACATTCAAAAGAAACCAGTCGACCAAAATTAAGTATATGAATATACAACCCCCCCCCCGATCTACGTTCTCGGGACGGTCCTGAACATAATTACCTGTCGTGTATCTGGACATGTCGCTAGAGATTGTTTCACGTAATTTCCTAAACATTGGCTACCACCATCGTTTTGTAAAAACCGCTGACCATCACATGTTACCGTCATCCATTGCGCTCTCAGCTTCATACTTTCATTTACTTGGTCGTCAACATCATCTGGCAATGACGTCATTATTTCACCTGTAATACACAAAATCGACACCAGGGTTGTTTCACTCCATCCCACAAACAAGTGCATATCATCAATATATTTACGAGGAACGTTTGGACTAAACATCCTTAATCAGTATTAAAGCTAATACGCCTTATTTCAACATTTCATTCTTCTTGCCAGTCGAGTGTAGAAATTGCGTTAACTTGTTTCGTTGACTTTCCAGCACTTGAATCCTTTACAGTTCTGGGGAGTGGAAAACGTTAATGGCTGGATGTTTCCGCTTTAAAGTTGATTAAAATTACATTACCTCGAGGGCAAGTTACCAAGCCAGTTGTTAATAGCTATCTTCTTCGACTGTTACATCGTCAATACTTAAGACACAAATAAATATTTCGCTATTTTCTTCACATTCTCGAAGTTTGTTATTCTAAGCTTTAGCTTATTCCATCCTCCCATTTCATGTCCTGTTATGTTGACAGTCTTTTCCTCGCATAGACAACGTCCTTTCCACTAACTTTTGAAAACTTTTTATGAACCAACGAAAACTTCGACGACAATAAAACTACCATATGTATTTGCAAACCAAATTCAAACACTGGTTCACTGAAAAAATTCAAAAACAGACTTCACAATTAAATAGCTTTATTCTTTTCTTTATTCCCTCGCTGACCATCAACAATACACGCTTTGAACACCATCAATGGTACTCAAAACTCACTCAAAACAAGTAAATACAACTCGAATACAAATTTAAGGGGCTGTTCACATGAGCCCAGTAGCCGGGATTCAGCGAAGAGTTAAATCATTTTGGCAAATGGAAAAGATTAAATACTTCACGACAAAAAACTTGTTTGAGCAATTTCTCTATGCTCTGACTTTGCAAATTTACAAAATCTTTAAAATGAAAACAAATAATTTAGCCAGATTTGAAAGTTACAACTAACGCATAAGAAAAGTTTTGCGCTTAAAATTTTTGCTCCTTTCGATGACTCAAAATCATTTCCCGCCTTGCTGAATTCAGGTTACCAGGCTCATGTAATCAGCCCCTAAATCATACAAATTGATGCCATAATTTTGAAAGCGATTGTAAGTTTCGGGTCACAAGAAGATATAAAATTTATAATTTATGTAATAAAAATTACTCAATGGTAAAAAACTATACGCAGAATACATAAAACAATCTATGAAGTTTAAAATTGTTTGGAAACATCAGAATACATATGATTTCTTCGAGGACGAATAGCGTCTCTTGATGGTGGTCGATTGTCAATCATACGAGTTCCTTTACTGAGATAACCTTGGGGAAACGAATTTGAACGATTGTCATACTCATAAGCGGTTAAAATAGCTGACAATATCATTAAAGAATGCTATGATTTGTAACTAAGTTGACTGTCTTTGTTTTCTGTTGTTCATTCATCACTATCTACACTGACACACTTTTTCTTATTTCTTATATGTTTTGGATCGTGTAAAAACTGTTCTCGTTCTCTGTCGTACATTCATCTTTATTTACAGAGACACACCTTATCTTATTTCGTAAATATTTTATGTGGTGTAAAGATGTTCTTGTTCTTTGTTGTTCATTCATCACTACCTACACAGACACACGCTATCTTATTTCTCATATATTTTATTTAGTGTAAAAACTGTTCTCATTCTCTGTTGTTCATTCATCACTACATACACAGACATACGTCATCTTATTTCTTATATACTTTATGCAGCGTAAAGACTGTTCTCATTTTCTGTATGAGCATGAATTTTATAATATAAACATTCCTGTCACACAAACTATTCATGAAATTAAAGGATACTGGCCGATACAGGAAGATAAAAAATTTCATTTTCGCCAATTATTTCAATGTGATGACCAACAGATCCAACTCCACTTTCTCCAGATACACCAACAGCTACAGCAAACATTTCAATGTCTAGTTTTCTCGTCATTCCTGCTGCAATCTATAAATTGAAAATGCAACAACCAAAGAAAAATTAAGACACAGGTTTTATTTCATTGAAAAACATGTGTCATTCACAACCATTGCAGTTTATTAGCCGATCAAGCAGCACAATAGAAATTGCTTTGATGCTTTTCAATGTAAGAGCTTATGATTGGAAAATTGTGCTATTAATATTATATTTTCTTTGAACGTTTGAATCTTCTAAAACAGTTTATTCATATCAATTTTCGTTCTCAAGATATTGTGGTTTATGCACTGTACGCTTTACACAGCATGTGACGTCACATTGTACAATGAAATTTGAAATAGCAGGTACATTTGCTGATATTTTACTTCAACAGAGCAGAATTCCCTTCATTCCCTCCCTAATGGTATTAAATATTGCTTGATCAACAAAACCAAAGGATGTTTAGAACTTTGTTAAATGCAAAATGATGTAAAAATTTGTGTAAAGCTAATTATAAAAACTTCAATATCTTGAGAATGAGAAGTAATATACGTACACTGTTTAGGAAATACGCTGTCAGTTTCAAAATCCTGTTGAGTGAAAATATAATTTAAATAGCAAAATTTTCGAGTCATATGCCTTGAAATTATCACGCAGTAGGTTATACTGAGGGTAAAGGGGGTATACTTAGGGGATTATAAGCGGTAGAAAGGGTATTTAAGAATATATAATTTATTGAAAACAAAAAATTTACAGGACCATGATTAAGCAAAACTTTGATACCAGTCGATGGAGGAGGATGTCGTACTTTGAATCTACAGCTATCAATACCAATGTTCCTTAATATCACCGAATGTACATACGTGTGACCTTCTTTAAGTACCCCCATGTCCACCTCAGGTGGAGAAAGCTCAAAACCTCTTGTGTTGTTCTTTCCAATAACAGAAGCAGTTTGAACTTTACGTCGGACAGGATCCTCTATCTTTAAAAACTGATATCCCAGAGAAGAATAAGAAATGAAAAGGATCAAGGCAACAACAAAAATGGAATTATAAAACATAGGTTTCTGATTGATAGACATAAAAAATTAGTTTCTCTATGTCTTTTTACAAACACTGATGATTTTAAAGATTTTTCAAAAGAAAATGTAACGTATTTACAAATTTTCTGTTCTATCTTCCATTTACCTTATTCAATTCAGTTGAAAATAATTTAAGTCGATATTAAAATTGAAATGAAATTTCACAATTGTAACAATAGAAAACCAAAACGCGTTTGCTTGAATCGTACCCAATTGGCAAAAAAATAGAGAAAAATAGCAAATATTAAGCCTTTATATATATTTATTGAGATAAATGAAAATTGTTCATATTTTTTTTCTATACCTGTGAATAAACGTGAACTAATGCTTCTACAATCTAACTGAGAATCCACGGCATTCCCTTTTGTCCTTGTACTATCCCTCTTCAATAGCATTCCTTAGAGTACTCTTCTCACAATACTCCATATGTATATACAAATCTTGCAGAGTACACTTTGAATCTTCTTGAAAATCTCTGGTGGCAATTGCTTCCTCTTCACTTTCGAAATCAGGTTTCTCACCCTAAAGGAAAGATTCAGTAAGTTATTTTTACATATCTTCAGCAACATCATGAACAGTTCCCACTACTATATTCCACGTGAGCCAACGAGCTTCCAAAATGTATATACGATTCAATGATTGTTCTTTTGAAAATATCTTCCGTAGACTCTGTCTTACTAACGGATTGTTTCTGCATATGAGCGTCGTTCTTGCTAGAGCTTTTATCGTCGAAGACATGCTTGTAATCATTCGTGTTTGCATTAGTCAACGAGTCCTCATCCAAAACCCTCGAGCGTACGCTATGCGCTTGAACTACGTTCAATTTCATAAAGCTACATTTAAACAGGCGTCGTTGTTCCTTCTCTGCCATGCTTGATTTCGTTTCACTGTTGGAAGTTTCATTTTCAAGTATTCCTCTACCGCAATCGACGAATTATAATATCTGCGAAAAATATTAGAGCATTGTTTATGCACAAAATATTAAGATACAAAGTTATGGAAAAAAATAAAAACATTTCTAACCTTGTCACAAATATTACGAGTGGCGTAACAAAGTGTTGATGAGTTTAATAAGCACTTGTCAAAACAATCTTAAGAAGACAAAGTACGTTTAAATAATATATGATTGAAAATTTGGTAAACGCACCTATAAGCACCAATTTCAGAGCTCCCTCGCTTGAGAATTAATCTCAGCATGCATGCGTAATCAACTGCACAAACTCTCCAAGTTCATTATCATGACAATGACCAACTGTATGTATTAGTACCGATTATGGAGTAATAAGAGCGCTCAGTCATAAATTTTCAGATTATTAATCTGCGCATGCGCAGTCTGCTTGAGCATGCGCTGTTGACTTGAGCAGCTGCGAAAGTTCATGTTCATGGCAACGATCAACTGCATCTACTAGTACCGATTTTGAAGTTATAGAATGCTTAGTAACAATTTAATAGAGATATCATCTGCGCATGCGCTCGATCATGTTAGTCCACTCGACTAACCGTTCATAGTCATGGCAACGACTAACTATAGCATCACAAACAATATACAACTTCTATTTCTTTTTTTTATGCATTTATATTTCATTCGTGAATTTTTAAGCTTGAAACGTAAACATTTATAAAATATAAATGAATGCACTTTAAAATACTTCTATTAAAAATACTGTTATTTTCAAACTACGACAAGTCCACAATATCCATCTAAATAAACTTTTAAAAACAAATCTTGTGTTAAAAATGTCAGGATAAACGTAGCTCAATAATTGTTTAACACGCTTGTAGCACGATAAACAAGAGCTCTCAAATCACAAAATTTTGTCGCGTGATCTCCTTCGTAAAACGCGGGCAGTACATAATATAATTCTATTGAAAGAAGTTTATTTGTCGGGGTTAAAAAATAGTTCTACAATCATAGTTTATAGAGAATACAGTTAGAAGACTGTTGAGAAGATAAAAAAAAGGCAATTTATTCACTAGTTATATCATAGTGAACATGAATTAAAGACAAAGTAAACATCTTTCATAAAACTTAAGCCTATTTTGTACAACTCATTTTATTAAGTTATATTTTGTATTACACTACGTATTTACTATACACTAAAAATTGGCTTTAGAACTATCTTCTTGTATAATCCAAGATTCTTAAATATTTGAGGAACAGCAAAATTTCATCATTATTATCCAAGATTAATCTTCAACATTAACAAAAGTAGTAAGGTCAAGGCCCACGACACTGAGTGAGAGAAAATGTTTTCCTGCATCCTCGTCCTACTTGACCTCACGATTTTATAAAACACTTAAACTTATTCAAGGTTCTACAGCCTATAGGAATACATCTGAGTAAAATAACCATTTACAATAATTTGAGTAGATAATTTAAAATGATAACGTCATTATACCAGAAGTTTCAATTTTTTGCAATTTCTTTCGGCGTCGCTTTTAGAGACCATTAAATGTTTTTGGTGTTAAGAAATAATGTTCTTTATCTTTTCTATGAATTACCCAGATAAATTGCAACACCGTGCAAACAGTAGCTTGAAAGATCTTCTGTATTCCTTGTCACGTATTCCATATATAAAAGCATTTGTCACGGAGTTTGTTGCAGCCAAAAGTATTGCTACACGAAGCACGTTTAAAGAAATACAGCCACCATTACAAATGACAAACTTTATAAACACTATCACAGGAAAAGGTGTTACACAGAGTAAAAATATCCAAAACGACACAGATTGTTTTGAAGAGTTTCAACTGTCGTGTGAAGTTTTTCGTGAGTTCAAATCATCTGTAGCGGTTGAATCCTTGTTTGTAGTGATGAAGCTTGTGCTGCTGTTTTCGACTTTGGTTTCGAGCAATTTGTATAGTTTCACATTGAAAACGATGATAACACCAAGTGGAAGAAGAAAAGAATAAAATAAGTGCAAATTGAAACAACTGTTTTGCTTGGATAACATTTAAATGGCATTTTAGAACTTTTTGTATTGAAAAACACCATTATGAAATTAAGAAGCCAGTGATCCATACTGAAGCCAAAGCTATAGACACCTTTTTGGGTGACAATTTGAGGATACTTGGGGTAATGCAATACAAATGTAACGATCAATTGTAGGCATCATAAGATTCACTAAATGATGTCGATATGGTCGCGTACCAAAGGGAATAGATCAGTTTACAAGGTACAGATAGTTTGGTTACTCCCATCAAAGGTTGAATTACCATTACAATAGACAATGGAAGAGATCCACAAACGACAAGATCTGAAATAGCCAAACTTATAACAAAATAGGTGCTTGTATTTTTATCTGTGTTCCAACGAACATTGTGCAATATCACAAAAATATTCCTGTAACTCAATAATACACACAATGATTGGACCGTTACGTCAAATATTACAAACGCAGGACTGCTCAATATTTGTATGATTCATTCCTTTGCACCTCTTTATTGCCGTTTCTTAGTACGATTGAGTAACAACTTTATATAGTTTTATTTTAGGTTGTCAAACACCAGCTGAATTGTGCGCATCATGGCAACGCATCAACACAACGCAGATGTGCTCTTAAAAGCTCATTTAGATGACTAATATTGACATAAAAACAATTTTTTTACGATATTTTGACAATTAAAATATTTTGAATAAAATTATTTGGCAATAAGAGTTCCAAGTTGAAAACTTTCTAGTGTAATGTAAGTGTGTTAAAAACGACACGATGGATATATTATTCATGGAGTTTTGGTTATAGCTATGAAAAAATAATAACTTATGAAATTTTCTAATTTTTGATCAATGTAGAGGCGCACATGTAAAAGTTTCTCTACAGGTTGTTTATACTATTTTAATTGAAATGTCTTGTTGAAAACCTCCCGTGGCTTTTTTATTGAAAATATGTTAAAGTAAGATACATTTTCTGTTTTTGTTCATATAACTAAATAGCTGTATCCCAAGTTCGAGGTTTTCTTTAGTTATTACAAG